ACCACAACCTCCAAACCCTCATTTTAGTTTGGTTCGAAAATTCGAACCGAGCCAACATGTGCTTGTCCCAATGGCGCCTTTGACGGCCAAGCAACCTGCTGAGGAACCATGGCCTAACCACGTCCCGTACATAGGTAATTGATTCTACTCTCTACTCTCTTAAGCTAAATATTCTTTAACTTAAGTGAGTGAGGGACAAATTGTATGGGCCTGACGAGGTCCAACTGTAATAGTAATAAGTGACGGCCTAGAGCCTTGGCCTAATCTCGATTGGACTCACGCTTTGAACACCTTGGGAACTAGCTGCTCTATGAGTTGGGCCATCCCCCGAGTTAAGCTGAACTGGGTCCGGCTCATTCGCCTACAGTAGTCCATAACAAGGATCAGAATCTTAACCAAATTTCTCTTCTGACAAGGCCTCGTATCTCACCCAAAGAGAAAAGCCTTGACAGATAGAGGCAAAGAATCCAATCTCTTTCTGACAAAAGAGTTCCCCTACCAAATAGGACTCAAAGTCTTACTATGATTTGAACCCCTACGGTTCACTATATAAGCTGAGGCCAGCTCCGTCATCAGGCATTGGAAGGAGACCACCCATAAGCCCTGATTCTCATATCACCAAACCCTTGATCTACTTCAATCCCCTTGCATCGCTTGGACTCCTTGAGAGATGCAAGGAGGCACCCCGCAAGTCCACCAAGGTTGTCAGTGGCTCTCTCCACAAGATTCAGTCTTCAATTCAATTGTAAATTTTAGTCTTAATATCCCATTACAAACGTTTGACTTCGAACAGATTACATACATATACGATAAACGCAGATGTCTCAGCACTGATGTATAATCAAAATCTGGTAGTTGTACAATTAATACAAGCCGGTATATTAGATCCTTGAACTAAAACTTAATTATTATAACCATCTGAGCACACGTAACGTACACTACAACTATGGACCCATGATAAAGCACCGATCTCGCAAGTCCATACACGAAAAGGAAAAGTAGAAGTGAGGGTCACTTCAAGCTCTGAAGAACCAAATTTGGACTAGCTAGAAATCATCTTTGAATTAAGGACAAATTGGCTGATATAATTAAGGGAAGATGCTCAGAGATGGTTGTCTTCAGAACTTATTTATTATACAGTTTTATGTCATATTTGCTATGCGGTGGGTGGTAGAGATTTTGATGTGACATCGTTTTGTTGGGACCGAAAGGAAGATTGATGACAGACACCAAAATTTAAGCTGAAATTCTCAGTAATCTTAGGTCGTGGGATATGGCCTATGGGGCATTCTGCAAGGTGCTCTTATTGATTGCCCTCCAAAAGTTGAATGTATTGCAAATTTTTTTCCAAGGGATTTAAAAGATAAACGTGAACATGCATGCTGGTTCAGTTCTGCCGTTCACTGTCTGCCAAGCTTTTTCCTTCTTTTTCTCTTATCCGCTAATTAAGTTCCTTCTGGTCACAACTTGAAGATCATTTTCTGAGAGAGCTACAGCGATGTTATTTGTGGTATGTGATGAGGTGATTAATTATATTTTATTTGCTCTTTTAAGTAACAATAAGTATGAAAATGAAACGGGAAAGCTACGTTACCTATTGATAAACCGAAAAGTATTAAAAGAAAGGTCTATCAATGCAACTTGGGCAATATAATATATGAACTCAATGAAGTCAACAGACAGGTTGCTTAGTAATATGATGACTTCGAATTAATGTCGATTAGATCATTCACTTAGGAAAAATCTCTTCATCGAATCCAAATTCTATCCATCTTGTCGTATTTCTTTTCAATTGATTTATTTATCTGTCTCTTTCGTCTTGACCAGTTGATAATTGAAAGTCATCCCTCATAGTATTAAAAGAAAGGTCTATCAATGCAACTTGGGCAATATAATATATGAACACAATGAAGTCAACAGACAAGTTGCTTAGTAATATGATGACTTCGAATTAATGTCGATTAGATCATTCACTTAGGAAAAATCTCTTCATCGAATCCAAATTCTATCCATCTTGTCGTATTTCTTTTCAATTGATTTATTTATCTCTCTCTTTCGTCTTGACCAGTTGATAATTGAAAGTCATCCCTCATTACAGTCGATTAATGGTAAGGTGGTTTTAAAACCTCTTTAGTAAATATCTTACTTGAACGAAATAGAGAAGCAACAGGAGCAAAATAATAATAGTTAAACAAAACAAACAGTAAACAAAGAATGTAATACGTGTTATTTATCCTGGTTTACCCAATGTAGGCTACGTCCAGCTGAGTCAATATTATTGCAATATGTCTCACCTCTCTCGTTTACAATGAATGAATTGTTCTCACACCCATAACAAGAGAAAAAGTATGTTTATATACTAGGTTTAAGAGATTAAACCTAGTTTTACAAGAATTCCTATTCCTAAGCCCAACCCAAAAAGGAATTAATAACTTAAAAGGAATCCTACAGCGGTTATACATGAGACCCCTGAGTGCGTCTCCGTTACCTATTAATGCTGAAGTAGTCGACAACTCCAACACTACCTAGTTTCGAATTTCAAGCACAATAAGCCATTTATTTTATTTAATATTACATTTTCCTCGGAAGTGCTGGACGAACACTCGTTGTTGACCTTGGTAGAGTTCAGCTTTCCGTGGTCAATAGAGAGACCTTTAGCAAATTCCACGGCGTTCAATTAATAATAACTTGACTTATCTTGGTGTAAGGGACATACTTGACTTAAGGCGTGCAAGTGCAAATTCTAGAAGCGAAGGAGAGGAGAGCATTTTATTTCTTAATGATAAAGGGAAGACTAAAATATGTCTGGTAATATTACTGGACAGGCAGTACAAATATTTATTACAAAAACAAGAAACTGGGGCCTGTGAGACCCCAGTATAATATCCTAGCCCGATTTTCACCGTTTCGTTGAAAGATAACAAAACCAAACTCAGCGACATAAATGCCATCAAGCCAAGTGCGGAAGAACTGCCTAAAATGTCCACAACGCTCTGAAAATGGCTGAGTTATTATGCATTTGACTGGCAAAGAGACGATCGGAAAAGTCACCCTCTGACCACCCAACCAAAACGCGCAAAACATTTACACGTGTTCTTCTTTGCTTATTTGGTGAGCATAGCAAACCACTACTTTGATTCTCATAAATTTTTACCATACAGGTTGTTTATCACCTCGTAATTGGAAAACTAGTTGGCAAGCATTGCGGCTCGGGTTCACATTTTTACGTTTTTGAGAATTTTTTTTTAAAAAAAGTTAAAAAGTTGAGTTAGGCAGGTATTATGATATAAGATTTATAAATTATAAAATATCTCCTATATTTATTTTTTATAAAATACCCCTATAATAAACATAAAAGTTAACAAAAACACTCCCCCCCACCATCAAATACGACAGCGCCTACCACCGTCGGAGGGTGGCCGGAGTCGCCGTATCAACGCAGGACCAGCGTATCTTGTCGATCGTGAGCCGATATGACCTTTTCCGATCAAATCTATGGCTGATTTGGCCATTGACGATCAGATCTGGTCGCATTGCTCGTCAACGACGGCCAAAGATATTGCCGTCGTTGATGGTCAACGACGACCATATGTTGGCCGTCATTGACGTCAGTTACGGCCAAAGATCTGGCCGTCAATGGCCGATCTTTGGCCTTAGATCTTGCCTTAGAAAGGCTAGATCAGCGCACTACCGGCAAGATCCAGTCGGAATGTGCCATCTTACCAATTCTGGCCAACTTCCGGTATTGGTGCTAGAATCTGGTATAATGTGGGTTTAGGGGTGTTTTTATAATTTTGAAAAAAAATATTTAAGGGTATTTAATATTAAACAATTTAGAGGTTTTAAAAAAGTTGAATACAATTTGATAATATTGTGAGTTTTTGGGTATTTTACTATTTAACTTTTTTTTGAGAATACTAATAATAGTATTCCCAAAAACCAACGAAACGGAGCCGCGCATTATGTTGCTCAATCTCTTCTATAAACTTAGAAAGTTTCAGAGCGCAGTTTAGTCATTTATCGCCGCTGTTTATTCAAGCGCAGTTTCTATTTAAAATAATATATTGAATCTCTATTCTATCTACCTCCTCCGTTTTCTTAAATGAGATGACACATTGGGTAAGCTACTAACTGTGCACTATAATGCGTTCAATTTAAGTTGCACAGTATTGTGCGTAAAACAATAATTTCTTATTAAGGGAGAATAATTTAGATTTGCTCAATTTGAAAGAAAATATACAGATCGACTTAGATTCTAATAAAGTAGCTGAAGATCATGCAATTCCTAATCCAACGTTTTTTAATCTTACCTCAACTCTATTCTGTAATGGATGTTATATAAACCCATCACAACTTGTTTTCTAAGGCAGAGAAATTGTTCAAAGAAAAGTTTCTTAAGAATTATATTGTTCTTTGTAAGCTCTCAAAAACAATAAGATAAAAGTGAACATAGACTCAAGTTCTAACTTGTCAAACCACTTTAAAAATTGTTTTGTGCTCTTATTTATGACTCTTTCTTTTTTGTTCATTGCTGATTTTCATTAAATCATGGGCATATTTATTCCAGTTTCGACAGGATTAATTGGAATTCTCTGGTTGGTACAAATCTCTGTATCAACACATAGAATACTTAAAGGTGAAGAGGAAGAATTGCTGACCATGAAAAATGATTAACAAACCCCCTCAAATAATAAAAATTATAATTCAAGAACTAATAAATTAATAATTTGATGAAGGGATATTGACCCGGAACCCGGAAGGTTGCATAGCTTTCCATGAACTTCTCTCACATGCTTAAGGAAGACTAAAAAGTTGAATTAGTAATAAAGATAAATACGAACATACACATCAGTGGGTGGAAGTTGAGCGATTGAAATGGGTCTTAAGCACACTCACATGTCCAACCAACCCCAAGCCACTCACACCCCTTCTTATAAGAGGCTCGTTTGATGTTTTCCCATCTAACCGAAGTTTTCACTTAGTGCAACACCAATCTTTATTTCACTCTTTCTTTCTTTCTTTCTCTTCATATCTCTCTCCTTTGTCTCCATGGATCTTCTTTTTTATTTCTATATTCTCCCTATTTTGTATCTCGTTTTCAAGTTATGGAAGTGGTTTGATGAGAAAAATGACCAAGAATGTTACGTAATAGATTATCAGTGCTATAAGCCAACTGATGACAGAATGGTTGACACTGAATTTAGCGGAGAGGTGATGAAGAGGAACAAACAACTTGGTCTCAATGAGTACAAGTTCCTCTTGAAAGCCATTGTAAGTTCAGGAATTGGCGAGCAAACTTACGCTCCAAGTATCATGTTCTCCGGCCGAGAATTTACTCCTACATTGCAAGATGGGCTGTCGGAGATGGACGAATTTTTCCATGACAGCATTGAAAAACTTTTGGCCAGGTCAGGCATTTCTCCTCAAGAAATTGATGTTCTTGTTGTTAATATTTCCATGCTAGCCGCAGTTCCTTCTTTATCTTCTAGAATCATCAATCTCTACAAGCTGAGGGAGGATGTTAAGGTTTTTAATCTTACTGGTATGGGATGTAGTGCAAGTTTAATATCAGTTGATATTGTGCGTAACATTTTTAGAACTTACAAAAATGTGTATGCACTAATTGTGACCTCGGAATCCTTGAGTCCAAATTGGTATTCAGGAAATAACAGGTCAATGATTCTTGCAAATATTTTGTTCCGGAGTGGTGGTTGTGCTATCCTTTTGTCTAACAACAGGACCTTAAAGCATCGAGCCTTGCTCAAACTAAAGTGTCTAGTCAGGACACACCATGGTTCCAGAGATGAATCTTATGAATGTTGCATACAAAGAGAAGACGAAGACGGAAAAATAGGGTTTCACCTCGGCAAGAACCTCCCAAAGGCTGCTACTCGTTGTTTTGTTGACAATCTTAGGGTAATTTCCCCCAAGATCTTGCCACTAAGGGAACTACTTCGATTTGTTGTAGTTTCATTTGTTCGAAAAATGAGTAACAAGTCTCCAAAAGGAGATCAACCCAAAAAATCATTAATAAACTTCAGGACGGGTGTTGATCATTTCTGCATCCACACTGGTGGCAAAGCAGTAATAGATGGGATTGGTTTCAGTCTTGATCTAACCGAGTACGAACTAGAGCCAGCTAGAATGACTCTTCATAGATTTGGGAACACATCTGCAAGCAGTCTTTGGTATGTTTTGGCTTACATGGAAGCCAAGAAGAGACTGAAGAAAGGAGACAGGGTTTTGATGATAAGTTTTGGTGCCGGCTTTAAATGCAACAGCTGTTTGTGGGAGGTGATGAGAGACCTGGAAGGAAATGCTGGTAATGTTTGGAGAGACTGCATTGATAGCTACCCACCAGAGTCTTTGGCTAACCCTTATATGGAGAAATATGGTTGGATTCAAAATGAAGATATTAGCACCTTCAAAATTCCTGATGAGGAGTAAGAAGAAGATTTACACACCCAAAAACCTTCATGGATGCTTATACTTTTTTTAATTCACCAAAACTTCTATTTCTTGCATTTCATTATTTTATCTGTATACTATTAAGGTCGTTATTATTGTTAAAATCCCTTTGTGGATTTCATCTGCCAATAAGATGTGCAGCTTCCAAATTCCGAACACTGATAGATATTGATCCGAAGTTTGCTACATCCTATTGGACTTGAGAGTTATTTTCTTTTTCTTGTTCAATTTTCTTTACAGGTATTGACAATTAATGCACGTTACAGCTTTGTTTAATTGTTTTTACGAATAGAAAAAGAAAACAGGTGTAATTTCAATCAATTTATTTATATATAAAAATTCTATTTCTTTCTTAGTTTTATTTCCATGGTGGTAGGTTCTCATAAATTTAATAAGAAAAAAGACTGCTTTAGCAGTTGTCCCAACACGCGCTTGTTGTTGTACCAGCTGCTTTATTTTATTTCAATGAAATATATTTATAATTAATTAAGCAATATACAATTCCTAATGATGTCATATTAATCACAAAGAGACTCTCTTAACTTATTAATTAAATTGCCCTCCAATTATCTCTAGATGATCGAGTGATTCGATAGGGATTTTTGAGTATATTAATAAAGAGATACTAAATTCAAGTTTATTATCGGTTAATAATAGAGATAGTCACTGAAACTCTTAAATAATCGATAGTTATAAAATCATGAAAAATTAGTTGTATTATTATTCTAAAATAAAAATACTAATATTGGTTTAATAGGATCACAGGAATAAATACAATAAACAGCTAGCTTGTGTAGATGCCAGCACGAATTTATTTATGATAGCAGTAAATAAGTTGTCTCACTGTAGCAGAATTATGAGCCTACCTTTTAACAATAAATACAATAAATTGGCCTATAAATCAAACTCAGAATCTCATTTAAGTAACATCACTGATCTATTGGTCCCGGTTTCAGTGAACGGTTCTGATACGGTGATGCTGTTGGCCGGACTCACCAAATTACTGGAGAGAATCGACCTTGGCCACATGCATTAAATTTTGGAGTGAGCTGCCCCTCTTTAAAGCCAACAAATATTAGCTCTTCATTTAACATCTCATCTCATTTCGCTCTTGTTAAAGACTTAATTAAGAAATACTTTTTCCTTTTTTTTCTCCCGAACATGCAATTGATTTCACACTCAAATCACAATTTATTTAGATAAGTCCCATTGCACAATCTATTACTAAAGGGGGAAAAGGTCATTGATAATTAAGTATTCCAAACCAACAACTAGTGTTAATTTTTTGTCATAGTACTACTATATTTATTAATTACTAATAAACAATCTTGCATATATTTCAAAAGGGTTGTCTATATATTTTTTTAGTTATGTTTTGTTTTTCAAAAGATTTGTCCTTTAATACCGATCCGCTTCATTATTTATTCACAAGAAATTGAAGAAGTATCACTGTTTCCAAAAATCGTAACATAACTTATTAATAGTTTATCAAACTTAATATTAACTATATTTGAGTGTCCGAGTGGTTTGATAGAGACTCTTAGGTCAAGAGGTTCTGAATTCAAGTCTCTCTTTGGTTGTTAATAGGGGTAGTTATTGGAGTTCTCATTCAGTCAATAGTTTTAGAGTTTTAAGAGATTTGTTGAGGTGTGCGTAAACTAGACGGACACCACGTATCATTAAAAAAAAAAAAAAATTAATATTGTAAAATTAAACATGAAACTCTAACAACATAGATGGATTAATACTAATAAATTGAATATTCTTTATTTTTATAGCAATTAGCTTGTGTGACTTTCAACATAATATCAGTCCACCTAACAAGACGGACGATGAGATAAAGAGTTTTGATTCGTTGCTGCAAATGGAAAATAGAAAAGAATTAGTGGCGCTATCAATTCTCTATTAAACACATATACTCTCCATATATAATAAGAAAAAATAGTCTATAATTAACAACTCTTGGATGATTGAATGATTTGATAGGAATTCTTAGATGTATTATTCAAAAGGTCATGAATTTGAACCCTTCTTTAATTGCTAATAAGAATAATCATTTAAATTTTTATCTGATAATTTTAGAGTCTTAAAAGATAAGTTGTGAGCCTTGAAATAAGCATAAACTGCCCCCATAAACTCTGGTCATAAAAGTTAATTAATTTTTTAAACGAAGAGGGCACGTTTCAGTTCTTTATTCTGGATAGTGTCTTGTTTAATTTCAAAATATAATCCACTGTTTCCTTTCTAGAAACTTTGTTTAGTCAACAAGTACTGAAATTTTTCTGTACAGAGACAGACCTCAAGAAAATTGCAAGGTTGAATTAATGAATGACTGTGGATATGGTGTTGGCAGAGCAGCAATAACATGACTGAGAATATCTGTAATTTATCATTCACATCATCACATGTCCTTTATCTGCAGTGGCATGGGCAATCAAAATTATAGCATAATATTTATTTTCTCATATATGCATGCTTAATTAATCAGTCAGCCAGAAACTTAGGTCCACTTGTTTTAAAATAATATTTAAAAAAAAATTAAATTAGGTAAGTATTACGATATAAAATTTAAAAATTAATAAAAATACCCTCTATAATTATTTATTTACTAAACATCCCTATAATAAAATATTAAAAGTTAATAAAAACACTACAACCCATCCATTAAATACAAACAACCGGCCACCACCGCCGGATGATAGTCAGAGTTGCCGTATCGGCACATGACCGATTGGATCTTATTGGTCATACACCGATATGACATTTTCAGGTCAAATCTATGGTTAGATCTGGCCATTGACGACCAGATCTGGCCGTATTTGATCGTCAACGACGGCCAAAGATATGACCGTCGTTGATGGTCAACAACGACCATATCTTGGCTGTCGTTGACGACTGTCTAAGGCCAAAGATCTGGCCTTTTCAAGCCAGATCCACCGTGAATCTTACTGAAAAAGGCTAGATCGGAGCACTATCAGCCAGATTCAGCTGGTAGTGCGCCATTACACCAGATTCCGACCAGCTTCTGGCAATGGTGGCCAGAATATGGTAAATGTGGGTTGCTAGGGTGTTTTTGTAATTTATAAAAAAAAAATTGGGGGTGTTTAGTTAAATTAATAAATTTAGGGGGGTTTAAAAGATATTGAATAATATTTTGAGAATAAGCTAATTTTATAGTTTAACTTTATTGGGAAAACTAAGAATAACATTTGGAAGAGTGAAACAAACGGAGCCGTAATATTTAGATGGCGATATGAACATGTTCTGATAGCTTTTATATTCATACAGTTTATTTGGCTGTATGCAAATGTGATTAATTTCCAGGAACTGCTACTTCACCTCCCAGAATGGTTACTGGGGTAGCAAACTGGAACAGAACCCTACTTTTAATCACTTATAATAGTACTAGTACAGAACGTCCGAAAAGTAAAACAAAGTCTTCCTTGTACTTGTATTAAAGCAAGTAAATTAAATAATCAAATGACGATATCAAATATACAAAAAAATTTATACAAATTGCTGTACCATTATTATTATTAGTAATTTTTTTGTCAAAAATAATCACTGATTTTTTCTGTGATTGCTCTTAATGTAAAGAGAATACTAAACAATAAAATAACGGTGAATGTGAGTTTGATTATAACTTGTAGAATCATTTTAAAAATAATTTTATATTTATCCATAATTTTCGACATATTTATCTCACTTTATCGGTTGATTCTGTCAAGGTCGATTAAGGCTCACCAATTGTAGCTAATTTTTGTAACAACAATATATATGATAATGATGTAATTAGACACTAATTAAGTGGAAACTGGGTTAGTTATTACTGGTTTTGATTTATAATCTGATAATGATATGCCATTGTACAAAACATTCTTGGCATTAAACAAATGTTTGAGATTTACGCTTTCGGCCGAGCTCAACGAACCAAACCTGCATTAAATGAGTTGCATGTGCTATGCTGGTAATACCACGAAATCAATAAATTTTGTGTAGGTACAGGTATATCATATCACATTATGAGATATATAATTACATTTTTCATCTCACGCGTTTATGTCTGATAGCTCTCAGCCTCTTACCCCATTTCATGCATGCCTTTATGCAGAGCCATATATATAATATGATACAAATTAATGTGATTGGATTTGATACAGTAAAATTTTCCTTTTCTGTATAGAAAGCCACATTTTATTTATGAGTTTGGCCCATCATGATCTTGTCACCTAGTTACCATTACAATACATTCGCCATTCCTATGCTTGCCTTTTTTTTTTTTTTTTTTTTTTAATGACTGGGGTATCCGAGTTAGTTTACGCGTACTTCAATTAATCTTTTAAAACCTTATAGCTACCGGTCAAGTAAGAGCTTTAGTAGTTACCTCTATTAACAACTGAGGAGAGACTCGAACTTAGGACCTCTTGAATAATATACTTAAGAGTTCCTATCGAACCACTCAGCTACCCAAAACCTATTAAGTCTGTAAAAGGCTAATTGTTTGGGCACATCTATATGCCGATTGGTTGTGTTATGCAATCAACCAAGAATCAATCACAAACAATCAAGAAAACAGAAAACACACAAATAATCAACACCGGATTTTTACCGTGGTTCACTTGCCCTATTTGAGCAAGCTACATCCACGTTGAACTCTGGAAAGGGAGTTCGCTGCACTATGATTATAGAACAACCACTTACAGTCACGATTACAAGAATACACCCAAAACCCTAGATCAAACAACCCTGATTCAAACCCGTAATATGCCCTAGGAATACTTTAACCTGGAAATTCCTATAACAAGAACATAGAAGTTCTTCCCTTGATTGATTAACCGAAACCACTCAAGATACCCACATATTACAACTGAAATCAGACCCAAAAGAAAGAACCTTAATCGAACAAAGAAAAACGAACAGCGGCTTTCTCTTTTTCGTTTTTGATCTACTATTGGTATGAAGACTTAATCCTTTTATAGTGTTGACTGGAGGCTTGATCTCAGCCGTTAGTTTTTCCTCTGAATTAGCAGTCAGGATCATCTTCGAGCTGTCTCAAAAAGACATCGTTCCACTAATACTCAGTACGACGCCGTTTCAACATTCACTTACAATAATCTCCACCTTGAATGCTGAGCATTCACAGTGCAGCAAACCCAAACAGTTCCTTCATCGTTCTGGTCTTCACAGGTTATCTTACATGCAACAGGTTCAAGCAGTGCTTGAACTTTGTAGGTGAGATAACCTTGGTTCCCATGTCAGCTGGATTATCCTCAGTGGATACCTTTCTAAGATCAATTACCCCTTGTGTTACT